CGACCCCACGGAGTGTTGGTGGTTAGGGTTGTTTGACCATACTTCGCCACATTGGATAGTGCAGGTGGAATTAAGGGGAGTTTACAGGTGTGGGAGCATAGAAGTACAGCACAATAATGGATCTTGTTGAACTGCCCTCTGCTGTCTCCCACGCAGCCCTACGGCAGCCTATAACACTCGTGATGCATGGCGGTCGCCCTTCCAATAACTCTACAAGATAACCCTTCTTTAACCCCCCCCCCCCCCCACCGAGGTTTGAAAGGGATGCGATCAATTCTGGGCGATTTCGTAAAAGAGGGAAGGGAAATTGTTGATCATAACATCATCGGTGATGTTCTGCGCTTCTGCGGCCGTCTGGAACGCTCTTCTTTCCAATATTAGGAAGCTACTGGGAGCTGTTAATTTTTACATTTGGATTGAAAACCCGTTTCTTTAAGGCCGCTTTTTGTGTTCCGTTTCTTGTCCTTCCCCTCCCCCGCACCTCCGATTAGCGCGGTTGGCTACCTACGGTGCGAAAGAAGTTGAATATACGAAGCACATTTCGCCTGTACTTAAACACCACTGCCAACGCAGTCATTGCACTATAGCCGATATCTACACATAGGCTGAAACGTGCACTGCCTTACCCAGGTGTCAGCTGCTAGCCGAGGGGAATTCGATTCTTTTTTTCACAACGACGTCGTTTACGCATCGCGTTTTGCTTTTCAAGCACCACAATTAATTCCCTGCAGAGATCACTGTCTCCTCCCCATATTGGGCCAAGAATCAATCACCCTACGGCCAGATGTATGTATGTATGGAGAACGTCTTTCATACGCAGCCAACTGTGCTAATCGGTGGTGCGGGGGGAAGAACAACCAACGAAACACAAAAAGCAGTTCCAAAGAAATGAGTGTTCAACCAACATTTAAAAGGGCATATCTCCAGTGGCTTCCGAATGGCTTCCAGATCACCTTGAAGCTAAGCGGGCTTGGAGCCTGGTACCCCTACTTGGGATGGGAGACTGACCTGGGTATGCCAGGTGTTGCAGAGGAATTGGCAGCGAGGTGGCCGGGAGATAGCAGCACAGGGTTGGATTCCTGCAGATATCTGCGCGATATTTTTGGTTACCTCCCCACCCACCCACCCACCCGTCCGCATGTGGTCTTTCAAGGGCACCCTCAGGATTTCTTCCCGTTCGCAAAACCACTCGTTTGGCTCGGCCAAACATCGGCGGCGTGAGCGTCCGCAAGTGCGCAGGCGGTGCAACCACGGCCCGGAGGGACCCAGGTGATGTGCTAAGAAGATGGAAATAAAAAAGTAGACAAAAGGAGAGGCCCCCCCCCCATGTTATTCTTTGCACCACGGCCCACGCCAAGACCGCGCTACGTCAATGCCACTACGCAACCACCCAAAATGCGGGATTCTCCTGCAAGAGCACGGGACTCGGTGTGACTCTCCCGGATAAATAAATAAATGTCTTCATCACAGAATCAACATGTTCCCAGGTTTGGTTTGAGATTCGGCTCAAGATACCCTCCCCTCCCCTCCCCCACCATTCTTATATTTTCTGCAGCTCCGTTTTTTTCCCCGTAGGGGGGCGGTGAGTGACGTCATCCACCCCGGTTAATTCCTTTGGTGAATCATGGCCGTGCCGACCCCCCCCCCCCCCCCCCGCGACCTGTGTGCCGAGCTGCTTATTTCCACATCTGACCCGAATGTAACAGGTGAATTCGTTCAGGAAAATATCAATCTTTTATACAGGATGATCCAATTATAAAGACCCCTCTAAAACAGCACGTAGGACTTACAGGAGAAAGCAACCTTTTATTTCAAAGTCCCCTGAAAGTTTCCCACCAATTCTCAAATACCGTACAATTGCGAAACATTTTAACACTCTCCACCGTGAGATACGGAACCGTCGCTTTCACAGTATTCAGACGGCTTTTCAGAGGAACAGTAAGAGGGCCATTTGAGCAGCAGCGTGGCGTCGTGGCAATACCTCTGCCCCACAGCAAGCAGGGCCCACGATCAACTCCTCACTTGGTGGACCTTTCTGTGTGGAGTTTTTGTATGTTCTCCCCCTGTTCTGCGAGGCTTTCCTTAAGGTTCTACGATTTCCTCCATGAGTTAAGAAGCACACGCACAATGTAACTTGGCATTGGCCAAAGATCCCAATGCTGAAAAATTCCCTAGAAATTACCAAATAGGGATTACACGTCGTAGCATCGCCCCCTGCTGTGGAGACATGGCAGCACCCTCCTGAGTCTCAAAGAGGCTTTCCTGGGTAGACAAGCTTAAATAACATTTTAAAAAATAAGTGGGATATCTGTAAATGGATAACCCCGTATATTCTTTTCTGATTTAATGCAGCGTCAATGACGAGAACGGTCACGCAGCGCTGAGCTCACTGCACCACGAGCTCGGCACCCCGAGTTCGACACCAATCAGTGGCGAGTGATGCCTGAACCAGTCCGACAGCACGTGGACCCGACTTGTCCCAACCACCTGCACTGACCCACGTGGAGAGCATTGGTCAAACAACGCCCCGTGATGGACACGGCGGAGATGGGGAAGCTCTCGTCCATCAGCGGACCGACAAAACGCTGTCACGTGTGTTTTTACGACGAGTCGACCGTGTTGGATTCAGATTTGTGCCTCTGCACAGTCGCCAGCAGCAGTCCGCCATACTTGTTGACATAGTCTCAAGGCTGTGTTTGCAAGCGGCTAAATTGTATAAACACGCCTATAATTAACGTTTAACTTTGTTGCAAAGTTTCGAGCCGAAACTTTTTTTCTCTCTCAAAAATATAAATCGCCATATTTCTCGACGGTCCAACTCAACGAATTTGCTCACGTGCCCCATCCAAGATCCGCCCAATACCCAGCGTCGTGGACCTGGCCATATCATCAGTGAGATGTCAACAAGAGCCGAGCCAGATAGAGCCCGGATAAGTCGCCGTCGTGCCGCGCGGGTTTACGTGGTGCCCGAGCGAAAGAGGCAAATGCAACAAAAGCCATTGTCGGACTATACTTCTATGCTCTCGCTCGCGTCTATGGTGAAGTATGGTCAAACAACCCAAGGCGGCGTGCGTGAAAGAAGAGCCATCACACCTCGCAGTGGACTGATAATCAGCTTCGTCGACCGTGAACATCTCAATCACCACCAGTCTGCACACCGATCGTTGCTCTCTCCCAGTGTAGAATCGAGGTGAAACTATTGCAGGCATCTGTTGCTGCTGCTGCTGCTGTTGTTGTTTGGCAATGAAGAAAGGACGACTGGAAATCGGGAGCACGGTCATTGGGTTTTTAAACCGCACGGATAAACAAATTACTGAATTTTTTTTAAACACGGAAGCACGTGGAATGGACATTTAATTGTCGGTAGGGTTTTAATAAGGATTGAGATTATAGCGTAAATTTGATACTGTAGTAGTATTAATAATAGTATTTTACAGCCCTTTATTAATCCACTGCTGGATGAAGGCATCCCCACATCGTGTTAGTGGTCATAGGGTTGTTTAGCCAGGAGAGGAGCGGTAGTGTAGTGGCCCGGGTTCGATTCCCGCTCACGGCCAACACCGATGACGATTATTTGAACCGGTCCTGGGCATCCCCTAGGTCGACTCAGCCTCAAATGAGTATCTGGTGCTATGCGTAAACATCGCCACTCGAGAGACAAAGGCGGCCGGGCGTGGTGTTGGCCACCCACCCCCTCGTGTGCCGTGCCGGCCTTTCTAGGTGCTCGCTAACAGCACTTACCCCCTAAAGTCTGTCTTTAAACGGGTTGGCTCCACGGTTTCCAGAGGGCGTGTGGAGGATGCCTTGTGTGGGTGTGTGTCCGGCCGCCGGTTTGAGGCATCACTGAACTCGAACTTGACTGGAGCATACACCCAACGTGTGTGGGTGATACCTATAAAGTGGGTCGTTACATTCAAACGATGTGCAGCTGTGTTTGGCTTCGATTTATAGATCGTCTACTGGCTTCATCTGTCGTGGATTAAAATATAAAACGTGTGTGTGTGTGTGTGTTACTCGGCAGGTTGGATAATTATAATCAATTAACGACGACAATCCACACAAGCGCACCCGTGCGTGAACAGATAGTTATATTTAGTTAACAGATAGTTAAAAGATATTAGCCGAGATGGGGACGCGGCTTCCCAAGCCCACCCATCGCCAACATTCGATTATATACTGTATATAGAAACAGAGTTACGATGATGCATACAGATGGATATTTTTGAATTATTCCAAAACTCTGCATACACGAGTGCAATTCTGGCAAAGCGTGGAAGTCCGATTTGGCAGAACCCTCCCTGATAAGCAACAACAAGAGTATTTATCGTCCCGACGCCAAGTATTACCCGCGCGGCAGTTGTCTCAGCGAGGACGATTTACATTTACCAATCGTCTCCGGTCCAATACAGATTTGGTCGTCACACGCTGCACGCGCACACCAATTATTGTTGATCACTTCCCACGCGCATTCGCGCAGTGATGAACGCCGCCGAGTCAATAATGAGAAGCGACCTTGCACGTGTTGTTTGCCCACGTGTTGCGTGTGCCCGTACGTAAGACGGAAGAGCGTCGGAATCAATAATCGCAATCTTGATGCTGCGCTCTCTACATCACGCGGTGTGTTTAGCAATCGGCAGGCGCGTGCCAACGTGTTTACAATGCATTAACATCTGCGCGGAGTGCACGCGTAGACCACCGGTACTTGTTGCGGCGACACAAGAAATGAGTTTGGTGGCCCCCGGCGCAAGGTGTACCGCTCTCGATTAAATCAACAACAGCACCGTCGGCCAAGGCGACGCGGAGTAGAGCGGTGGCGCAGTGGTTAGCGCACTGCGCAATGTGTACCCGGCAACGTGGGTACAGCTGGGCCACGCATCTTTTTTTTTTAAATCGAACAACCTCCACGACTTGGCCCGGCGTGCCTTCACCCAGCAGTGGATTGACAACCGGGCCTGTCAATCAATCAGTCGATCGTGAATCATCATCATAATCCAACTCACCCAGGAAGACGCACGCGACGTCGATGGCCACGGCACCGTGGACCGCGCGCGTGGGTGGCGCGGGTGCCCTCGTCGGCGACTCGCCGGGGCTGCTGCTTCCTGCTGCTGCTGCGGATGATGCTGCTGCTGATGATGCTGCTCCGGGTTCCCCTCTCTCGGACCCCTGCGAGTCTCCGTCGGCCGCCTTGTCGTATTTGTACCCTGGCCCCGGCATGTCTTCGCTTTGGCCACGGGACGGACTTCGATCGCTTTGGCTAGATGAGACCGTGGTGGTTAGATGGTGAGACGGTGGTGGTGGCTGGAGGATGATGATGGTGTTGGTGGCAGGTGCTGGTGGTGGTGGTTGTTGTATGTTGTTGAATGTCGTGATGGTGGTTGGATCATGAGATGATGATGATGGTGGTGGTTGTGTGATGAGATGATGCTGATGGCCGTGCTTGATTGACGAGGCCGTGGTGGTGGTGGGTGAAAGACGATGATTATGTGAGATGGTGGTGGTCGTGGTAGAACGGTGGTGGTGCTACGGTGGTAGTGGAACACAGATGATGATGATCGTAGTTGGGTGACGGCGGTGAGATGGTGAGATGAGAGAAGCCTTGCTTCGGCTTTACTTGCCGAGACGCCCGCGAACTCGACTCTCGCTTGGCAGACTCCTCTGCTCGAAAGACTGCGCGACGCGGCGTGACGCTACCCTACGGGAGATCCGTGGCCGCTCGTCTTCATTGGAAGCGCCGCCCGTGCACAGCTCAACGAACCAACGACGTGTCTGCCCGCTCGACAATACAGACGTGGCACGACTCCGCTGGAAAATCTCGCGACAATGATCGCTCGCCGATTGACCCGGCAGCCTTCCCTCCCCTCGAGTCCCGTCTTCTTTATATCGCCGCCGTGTTTACAGCCAAGACCAGGGCGACTTCTGCCACGGGCATCCGACTGAGCCAGCGGAGGGAATCGCTGAAACTTTCCGGAATGGCTCTCCGAGTAAGTATAAACACAGTCCGCTCCTCCCACTGCTTCCAAAGCAGCCACTCGAGCTTGAAGCGGCTGGAGGAGGGGGCGGAACTTCGGTCTCCGAGCCAGATATTCACGATTGTGTTGGTGGGAGAGGGGGGGGATTGAGAGGCAATGGGACTGCGCTGTATCCTGTCCCAACAACGCACCAGCGCACGTGCGGATATTCCCTTCACTCGTTGAAAAATGAAAGAGTCGCCCCAGCTATGACTTGACGCATATTGCGCGCTTTTTTTGTATCGTGTGATTTATATTCTTCCCAAAGACGCTTGTGTTTATTTAGAGTGACGAATTGTTTTTTTTTTATCATATCGTAAAAATGGGTCTAAGTTCACCAGTATTGATTCATGTAAGCCTGACTGAAGAGACACTGCATGTGGCTGGAGAGACTGAATGTCGAAACCGGTCCAGAGGTTGCTTGCATTGAACCAATGCTGCCGACATGCATCCCCCAGAAGGCGTGTGCGGCCGATGGGTTGTGTAAGAACGAATTAATGTTTGTGTTTGGAGAGACGAACATATGAAGGGGACATTGTCTGCTTATTTATTTTGCTGTTGTGAAAATGGTGAAGTGTAATCTTCTGCTCATCACGTAACCGAGCACAGACAGAGGAGGCAAGGACGAATATCAAGCAACTCCCGATGCCATCGAATGTATTACCAAACGCAAGACGCAGTTGTCTTTTTTGTCGGTTGATTTTTTTAATTCCATAAGATAGAAAGACTCCTGGGGTTTCCCGTAATAAGTAGGATACATTACTCGGTGGAGTGCGCTAACCACTGTGCCACTGCTCCTCCAGAAGAAATAACCAACTCAGTCTTGATTTGAAACTTTCGTGACTGCCGGAATCCATACTCTTTGGTTATTTCGGTAAAGTCGCGTAGGTAGAAAAGAAAACTAAATTAAAATAATATATCACGACGTTTCGATCGCAACACAAGCGGTCGTCCGCAGGCGGAAAAAAATAATCCAACTCAGTGTTTCTTTGAATCAATATGAATCGATATGAATCGATATATGTTCATATGCGTTCAAGTGTATTTTGTTTATCCGAGATAGTTTCATTTGCAAGAATGACGTGGGGGGGGGGGGGGGATGACTGCTGCGCACCAACCCAGCAGTAATTAGCGAGTCATTTTCGAATTTGCCAAATTAGGACCATGACACCGACACACGATGTGGCCCCCTACTCTCGCGAACGACGTCACGGGGATCTTTAACGTCGGCTGTGAGGCAGACGGCGCGTATCGTCGCTGCGGTGATTACATCCGCAGCAATAATCAGGGCGGCCGCTGGGTTCGAACCGTGAACCTGTTCAACAACCAGGCCATTGTCACTGCCCCCAAGTTGAGTAACCCGTTTCCAATACGTGTTATGCGATCATCGCTTCGGATTTGGATACAACGTAATCGGAACTCGTTTTCTGTCACTCCACATATAAATACTGCACAAATATTGAAAAAAACTAGATTCGAAGCTTTCGTGACTGCAGGAATTACTCTTTGGTTCTTTCGGTAAAGTCACGTAGAAAATCTAATCAAATAATAATGGAATACGACGTTTCGGTTGCAACACAAGCAAGCCATCATCAGGTAAGAATGAATGATAACAACGAGGGGACAAGGAGGGAGCAGTGTGCGTCTCGCTCGGTGTGTCTCTGCATGTGTGCACACACTGTCTCTCCTCCGGCCACTGTGGTCCGGAATTCCACACTGCTCCCTCCTTGTCCCCACGTTTGTTCTGCTGGTCCCCTCGTTTGTCCGCCTCCCCAGTCCTCTCTCTGCCCCAGCTCCCCCCCCCCCCCTCTCTGTTTACGGTGATGTGCACGTCTTCTTCGAACGCTGGGGAGCCGGAAAAGCCCTCCGTACCAGCGTGGACGGCACCCTCATGTTCACCTTCTGAAGCGCTCGCTCGTCACCGTGGCGTGCGCAATGACCACCACCACAACCACGTGCCTTTTCTTTCGTGTTGTGCGCGGTGCTTTTAGCGCCACAGCGCGTGGATTTGTAGCGTTTATTTTCATTTGTTCGCTGGTGACTTTGTGTATTTCATATCGGAATCGCCTCCAGTGCTTTTGCTGCTGGCGGCAATAAAAGTTGTTTAAAAGTCAAAGTCTGTTAAAGGCCTCGGCACAGATTCGTTGTCCTTCTGTTTGTCTTGGTGTGTCTCTCGCTCGGTGTGTCTCTGCATGTGTGTCTGCCTATGTTGTTTCCGTGTCTGTGTTTTATCATTCATTCTTACCTGATGATGGCTGCTTGTGTTGCAACCGAAACGTCGTATTCTATTATTATTAGATTTAATTTTCTACGTGACTTTACCGAAAGAACCAAAGAGTAAATATTGATAATTTTATTTTATTTTACCAGGTAAGGCCCCACTGAGCTACGTAGCTCTTTTTCAGAAGCAACCTCATCACAAATGATAGCTCAACGAAGTGGCTTACAGTATCATGTGGACATTTGTATCAGCCAAATACTCCGAACGCTTGTTTCTAAACGTGGAGGGGAAACCCGGAGGTCCCCGGGAGAGAGAGAGAAAGAGACAGGCAAACTCCAAATATCCAGCAGGCCTCAGGGTCGGGATCGAACGCAGGACTTGCTGCATACCAGGCGATGGAGTTAACATCTCTCCCCCGCGCCGCCCACGTTTTAGTCCATCAGCCTATCGGCTTTCCAGATCAAGCGAGAAAACCCTGGAGTGGTTTCGACTTGCTGCGTCTCATCAACGCTCGGGAGTGTTAAACAAATGCAGCTGCACTACCAGATGTTATTGGTAAGAGCACTCCATATAAACTATAGTACATCGTTCAACGCACAGAAAAGCAATAGCGCACACAAACCTCAATGTGTGGCTGTGGAGCATTATATCAAGAAATAAATATATATTCGTATAAGCTGAGATTGCACACCATTTGGTAGTCGAACCATATTTTACAGCTCCTTGTTCATTTCACTGCTGGATGAGTCCTCCCCCCCCTCCCCCACCGCACAATCCATCGAAATAATTCTTGCGCTTTGATAATCCTGCACACGAGCTGATGTGTGCGCATAGTATAAAGTAGAAGGTAAAGGTGCAGCCCTGCAATTCCCTGCTTGACGCCTCTTCTGCCGGAAACGCATCCATTGGGACAGTGTTCTTCACTCATTTTCAGAGGGGGGCCACCTTCACCAATAAGACATCATCAGTGTGAGGGCCGCCACACATTTGAAACCATTGGGGGTTTGACAACATAATGATGATGAGGGTGTTTTCCCACAACAGGGGCCTCACGAAAGGCAATCTGGGGCCGTCAGTGGCCCGCGAGCCTTGCAATGAAGAACACTGCATGAGAGGGAACACCAGAAAGCCCCTCTAGAAGATATGTGGCCTACTGTTTTCGCTGGCCAGTTGTCTTGGAGAGACGTGGCAGTACCCACAGTTTGCGACTTGTCCAAATGTTTCGATCGCCGCGCCGGGAGATGGCATCGAAACCGTCGATCTCTGGATTTTGCTACGATGCTGTACATGTTGACATGCAGGGGCACCGCGGTGGTGAGATGTTACCTACCTCGCCTGGTATACAGGGGGTCGTGGATTCGATCCCGATGCTGACGCCTGCTGTATATTTGGAGTATGCATGTTTCTCTTTCCCCGTGGTCTCGTGGATTTTTCTCTCCAGTTTTCCCCTCCACATTTAGAAGCATGCGTCGAGAGTATTAGGCCGCTACAAATGTCCACGTGATAACCCACTTCGTAGAGCTTTCGTTTGTAGCCAGGTGGCTTCTAAAAAGAGCTCCACAGCGAGTCGGAGTGTGTGCTAGTCATCAAACCACGGCAGCATCCTCTATATATGACGTGTGTACATTCATGACTCAAATTTACTATCGGCGAGCTTAAATCAGTTACTATGCAGGCCTGCAAGGCTGGGTGCTGACAGTCGCTCACCCATCACTTCCCCTGAGCCTAAGCGACTCATCGTTTAGCCCGTTCACAACGTCACTCATTTACAGCAGCACATCCATCCGCGCTCCTTATATGGAAGTTTTTTTTCCCCCTAAAAAAGAAATCCTCAGGATCAACAATGACAAGCTACACATGCACAATACGAGCAGATAAGCGTTATACATTAAGCCCAGGCACGCCAGTAATTAAATAAGACGCGGAAATAAGCTGGCTAATGCTTGTGGTGATGCACTGAGCGATCTGGCGGGCCTGACGAACCAGCCTAATTAGATTTGTACCCAAACCCATAGCTTGTATGGGTAAACGCTCATTTTTTTTGTTAGTAAATCAGCCTCTTGGCTTATCAGACCAAATATTATCTAGCAGCATCTTTGTTTCCGAAAGCAAACTCTCTCTCGACGGAGTTTCAATATGTTTGGGGTCGCATCAGCATCAGCAGAGTCAGACTTTTTAGGTAAATGCTGTCGATATTGGCATCCGGTGATCCCGCATCATTTATTTACCAAGCTTGGCTCTGCTGATGAGACCCACAAGGCCGAAACCGCTGCAAAGTTTATTTGCTTAAACGACTGCTGCTTGTTGACACAAGTGTGGAAGGCCAATAGGGCAAATGGACTTTTTTTAAATGTCATTTTGTTTGGAGATATATGTTCACGTGCAGGTACTACGTGGATGATCACTTGGTTTATTACATCTCAGGTTTGTGAGAGGCGGTGACGGTTTGGAGGAGGCCTTCGTCTAGAAGTGGATTAACCATGGATGATGATAATGATGTGAAGATATGGAAGAGTGGCTCATTTATCTTAACTTATTGTCTGCCTATGCTGTGGGGGCCACATTATATAAGGCAGTCTTAGCAATTCATGTTGCGAGTGTTTTTTATTAGTTCAACCAGAATTCACTCAGCCCTCAGGTTGAGCCACACCAAAAGCTGCCACTTTAAAAGAATGTGACACGTTTTCCCCAACGTAGCCAAATTCTATGGAATTAACACTAACAACAAAAATTCAAGCCTCT